GGGAGATCAGGGATCACCCTGATCTCTGGGGGCAGTTCGTTCCAGAGGGTGGGAGCTCCCACAGAGAAGGCCCTACCCCTTGGGGTCGCCAGCCGGCACTGTCTGGCTGACGGCACCCCGAGGAGACCCACCCTGTGGGAGCGTACAGGTCGGTGGGGGGTAATCTGTGGCAGGGGTAGTCAATGTAGTGCAGGGGTAGTCAACCTTGGCTCTCTTATGACTCGTGGACTTCAACTCCCAGAATTCCTGAGCCAGCTATCTATCTATCTATCTATCTATCTATCTATCTATCTATCTATCTATCTATCTATCTACCTACCTACCTACCTACCTACCTACCTACCTACCTACCTATATCTATATCTATATCTATATCTATCTATCTTACTCTTAAAAGAAATTCATTTGAAAAGCATAAGTTTGCATTTGACAGCAGGGGGCGCTAAACCACCACGATACAGTTCGAGTTTAATTAAAAAATAAAAACCGCATTAAAACTTCAAATCTTCCCGTTTGAGGGGACAGCAGCAACGAATGGTTAAGTGGGTGTTGTTTTCAAATGTAAAAATCTTGATGCAGATAGAGGGAAAATAGACCCACCATCCCTAAAATAAATGAGGATTTCCTTCCTTCCTTCTTTCCTTCTCATCTTCTTTCTTCTCACCTTCCTTCCTTCCTTCCTCCCTTCCTTCCTTCCCATCTTCTTTCTTCTCACCTTCCTTCCTTCCTTCCTTCCTTTTTTCCTTCTCATCTTCTTTCTTCTCACCTTCCTTCTTTCTTCCCACCCATCCTTTCTCCTCATACATTTCCTTCCTTCCTTCCTTCCTTCCTTCCTTCCTTCCTTCCTTCCTTCCCATCTTCTTTCTTCTCACCTTCCTTCCTTCCTTCTTCCCACTCACCCTTTCTCCTCATACATTTCCTTCCTTCCTTCCTTCCTTCCTTCCTTCCTTCTCATCTTCTTTCTTCTCATCTTCCTTCCTTCTTTCTTCCCACCCATCCTTTCTCCTCATACACTTCCTTCCTTCCTTCCTTCCTTCCCTGCCTCTCTCCCTAAGCTGCAGGGAGTGGGGGAGCCACCAGGGGGCGCTGTGGGCCACACCAGGCCCAGACCTGGCAGACTAAAGCTGACTGGCAAGAGGGGAGGGGCCAGTGGCTGAAAGCAGGAAGAAACCAAAGTGCAGAGCAAGGAAGGGAGAGCCAAGAGAAAGAGAAGCTCCCCCAGCCGGTGCGGAGTGGTTCATTCCACAGCTGCACCGGCAGACCGGAAGACCGTCCGGACACGTTGCTGGCCAAAGTCCTCTCTGGCCCCCTGGTGCATCTGAGCATCCTCTCACCTGGGCCCAGGTGAGCCTCTGAGCATGCCCCCGCTGCTGCTGATCTGCGGGACTGCAGCAGCAGCCTTTTTCGCCTACCTGGATGGCTGGTACCTGCTGAGGATGCCTCTGACTTACCTGTACGCCAGGTGGCTGCTGCCTTCCATCTCGGACCCTCTGCAAGAGCAGCAGTTCCACAGCTGGGTGCTGCCTTCCGACTTGGACCTGCTGGTGCACATGAACAATGCCCGTTACCCCCGGGAGGCCGACATGGCGCGCTGCGTCCACATGGTCCGCTGCGGGCTCTTCCAGGCCATCCGGGCCCTCGGGGGCCACACGATGCTGGCCGCCTCCTGCTGCCGCTTCCGGCGTTCGCTGCACCTTCTGGAGCATTTCACCATCCGGACCCGTATCCGAGGCTGGGACCACCGGGCTTTTTTCCTGGAGCAGCGTTTCGTCAGTGCCCGGGACGGTTTCGTTTGTGCCGTGTTGCTGGTGCGGCAACACGTAACGGGCACCAGTCCGGGCACGGCTGTGGAGCAGGCGTGCCGAAGGAAGGTGAGGGTCCAAAAAGGCTGGGAGGGCGGCTGGCAGCATCTACAGCGGCAAAGGCTGAGAGTAGGTAGAGAAATCAGAGCAGCAGAGCTGGAAGGGGCCTTGGAGGTCCTCTAGACCAACCCTGTTGCTCGAGCAGGAGATCCTATATACCATTCTGGGCAAACGGTGGTCGGATTCCTTCTGGAAAAACCTCCACGGATGGATCCCCTGCCCAGAGTTTTAAAAATCAGGAATTCTGAATTCTAAATGTATTTGTCTTCTTTTCCGTATATAGGTAGCCCTTGACTTAGCACAGTTCATTTAGTGGCTGTTCCAAGTTACAACTACACGGAGAAAAAAAAGGGACTTGTGACCGTTTTTCACGCTTAGGACCGTCGCAGCGTCCTCAGGGTCACGTGATCGAAACTCAAGACACTTGGCCACTGACTCATGTTTATGACGGTTGCCATGTCCCGGGGGCGGGGGGATCATGTGATCCCCTTTGGTGACTTTCTGATCAGCAAAGTCAATGGGGAAGCCAGATTCACTTAGCAACCGTGTTACTAACTTAACCACTGCAGTGATTCACTTAACAACTGTGGCAAGAAAAGTCGTAAAATGGAGCAAAACTCACTTTACGACTGTCTCCCTTCACAAGATAAATTCTGGGCTCAATTGTGGTGGTAAGTTGAGAACTACAGTAGCTGTAATTGTTCGAACTGTCAGGAAATCCCTCCTTAATTCCAGGTTGCTTCTCTCCTTGATTAGGTAAAAACTTCCAGTGTTGGAGCATTCACCGCTTCTGGAGGCAGGTTGTTCCACTGGTTAATTGTTCTAACTGTCAGGAAGTTTCTCCTTAGTTCTAGGTTGCTTCTCTCCTTGATTAGTTTCCATCCATTGCTTCTTGTCCTGCCTTCAGGGGCTTTGGAGAATAGCTTGACTCCCTCTTCTTTGGGGCAGCCCCTCAAATACTGGAAGACTGCTATCATATCTCTCCTGTTTCTTCTTTTCTTTAGACTGGCCAAACCCAAGTCTTGCAGCCGTTCTTCATATGTTTCAACCTCCAGTCCCCTGATCATCTTAGTTGCTCTTCTCTGAACTCTTTCTAGAGTCTCAACATCTTTTTTACATCCTGGTGACCAAAACTGGATGCATGATTCCAAGGATGGTCTTACCAAGGCATTATAAACTGAAATAAAGCTGGGACAAAATGTCACCACGGTATAGGTACCCTTGCTTGAGCAGGGGCTGGACTAGAAGACCTCCAAGGTCCCTTCTATTCTATTCTATTCTGTTCTATTCTATTCTATTCCTTTTCTATTCTATTCTATTCCACTTATCTATCATCTTCACATTAATCTGTCAATCTTTCTATCTTAAATTCCTTCCTTCCTTCCTTCCTTCCTTCCTTCCTTCCTTCCTTCCTTCCTTCCTTCTACTGTAAATTAATATATTTCTGACTTCACTTATCAGTGTGTTATTCCTAAATCTCTCTCTCTCCACTTATCTATGATCTTCACATCGGTCTGTCAATCTTTCTTTCTTTCTTTCTTTCTTTCTTTCTTTCTTTCTTTCTTTCTTTCTTTCAGTCCACAAGTCATAAAAGGGTCAGGTTTGAAGACCCCTGCTCTAGGACAGTGTTTCCTACCCTCAGCACCTTTAGGGGGAATTCTGGGAGTTGAAGTCCATGTTTTTTACAGTTGGGAACCAATGTTCTAAGTCAGGGATAGGCAATCTTGGCTCTTTTATGACTGGTGGACTTCAACTCCCAGAATTCCTCAGCCAGCATGGCTCAGCTTGGAAACCTCTCCCTTTCCCCTCAGCATGGCTGGCTCAGGAACTCTGGGAGTTGAAGTCCACGAGTCATAAAAGAGCCAAGGTTGCCTACCCCTGGCCTAGGCCTAGGCCGCTTTATGACTCGTGGACTTCAACTCGCAGAATTCCTGAGCCAGCATAGGGAAACTATGGCCCCTTCATGACTGGTGGACTTCAACTCCCAGAATTCCTCAGGCAGCCTGGCTCAGCTTGGAAACCTCTCCCTTTCCCCTCAGCATGGCTGGCTCAGGAATTCTGGGAGTTGAAGTCCACCAGTCATGAAGGGGCCAAGGTTGCCTACCCCTGTTCTAAGTGCATGAGGGTTCCCTTTGTGGAGTAGCCCTGCCATGTGACACGGCTGAGTTTCCACAACCTGTAGTACCCAATCCTATCTCTTGCAGCCCCGTGGGAATGTCGCAAGGGGATCTTAAGGGATCTGCTTTACCCCAGGGTTAAATCATTCACCAGTCAAGGAAAATATGGGTTGGCTTGCCAGGGACCACCTCAACACAGCCCAAACCCCAGAGAGAGATATTTTAGATTCTCTGGGGTTCTCCACACACACACCATCCTCCTCTCCCTCTGATTCCGGCAGTTATCCGAAGGATACTGCAGGAGCAGGCGGAGTTAATATTCATTGCTCCACACTGGCCGAGACGACCGTGGGTTGCAGACCTCGTGAGCCTTTCCACGGCTCCTCCGTGGCGGATTCCCGCGAGTCGCATATTTCTAACTCAGGGGGCCCTGCACCATCCAGAGCCCCAATGGCTCCAATTAGCCGCCTGGCGCTTGAGCGCCGCACCCTGACACAGGAGTCATCCTCGTCAGGCGTGATTGACATGATTCAGGCCTCCAGGAGGCCAGCGACTAATCGTATTTATGATCACACTTGGAGGAATTTCTGCCACTGGTGTGACAAGACTCAATTGACTCTCTCAAGGAAGTGGTCGAAATAGATTCCCTGCTGTCCTATGAAGGACGACTGTCTCGCGGCGCCTCAAAATGGCGGCCGCGCTGCAGGGCTGAGGGAGAATCAAACATCTCCCAAGCAAACCCAGTTTAAAAAATTCCAGTAAAATATTTGTAGCTCAGGATGGATCTGTGGGGACCTTGGTGCTCTCTGATCTTGGTTGTTTTCCTTGCAGACTTTTTTTTTTTTTTAATAAATGTTTTATTAATTTTTCAATTAAAAAACAAAAACATAAATCTTTTATCACAATATCAACCAAAAAGAATAACACTAATCAATACATTTCATTACTCAGCGAAGTGTCGTGGGAAAACCCAGTGGAAAAGGCAAGACAGCGACACAAAACAATCGTTCTTACTTGGAGATTCAGAGGTTTATTTTTCTAACAATTTGGAACGTAGCAGAATAACATCACTTACATTTTTTTTATTAAAAGTTTTATAACATTTACAAAATAAATGTTCCC